CGCCAAGTCAGCGGTTTCCAACAGCGACGCAGCACGGATAATGAATTTATGGGGCTCTGCTTGCTTCCGTGAAATAGGCTATTACTGCGAGATGGTTAAGTTATTATATTGTTTTATGGCCTCATGAGGGTTGATTGCACTCGCGAATACAGTGAGAGAAATCCTTGCAGGAAAACGCTGTGAAAATAACGCAGGCTGGAGAAGCTGCTAGAAGGGGGAAAGGTGCCCGTGGGCGCGGGCCCGGCTGCCCCAGTGCCGTGTCCAGGGCGCCGGCGCCCGCAGGGAGCCGCTGGCCTGCAGGAAACACCGCTCCTTCCAGATCTGGTTTCAGGCCAAACTGGAGCAAACCCAAGCGTGCAGAAATCCCAAGGAAGCTTTGTCTTCRGGAACACGGAGCTTCCGGAGCGAGCGCGTCCGCTGCAGCTCGCAGCTGCTCCGAGGACTCACGTTCCCGTCCAGGGCAGCTCCGGGCAGGGCCCGCGGGGACGGCGCCACCGCAGCCGGGCTGGGCGGCAGAGCCTCCCCGCGCAAGGAGCCCCGCGCCCTTCGGGGTCCCGCTCCCCAAGCTGGCACCCTAAGAGCCCGGCTGACCCCAGCCAAAGGAATAACCTTCCGCCCCGTGCAAAGCTGCCAGGTCCTGGCGACTCCACGGACGCCCCGGCCGCAGTCCCACAAGATTTGGCCGGGGCCATCGCTCCTCCYTCAGGTCCTTCTCAGCATCCTCCTCCCTCCTCTCCCTCCCTTTGGGGGTGCTTTGATAACAGTGATTTTCGCTGACGAGACAATCCGCCTCGCAGCACTTCTGCGAGTTTACTACAAAGGCAAAACCGTAACCAGCTGCAGCACATTGAGCTGCTCTGGAGCAACTTCTAAGAATATTTGCTAACTCTGTGCCAGGGAATTTATAAATAAGCACCACGAGCAGCAAGGGAACACTCCCCAGCTTCCCTGACATTCTTGTTGATGTGCTTTGTCCTCGGCCGAGCAGGAAAAGCCTTTATCAGCAGCAGCACAAGTCCAGCACACGTCAGCTATCTGTCTCTCCCGTCCCTAAGAATATTTCTTGCTATCGTTGGCTCCATCTAGACGATCAAAGGGAACGTTCCCGCACAGAAACTCTGACCAGCTGAAGAGGAAGCACTAAAGGCCATGGCTCGAGTGCAAGTTTATCAAACACCCTGTACTCCAAACAGCCCCATTGTTTCGCCCTTGTTTTCTGCAGCTCTAATGAAACATTAACAGGGCTCGCAGCAGCGTCCCAGAGTGCAGCGAGAGCTGAAATGCCAGAGTCTTGTTGTGTCCCTCCGGTGCTGCCACAGGGCAGAAGGTGGAGCGGAGCCTCCTCTGGGATCCCAGGAACCCGTGCCCGCCCAGGACCCCAAGGGGAGGGCTCCGTGCAGCGGGGAGCAGAGCCCCACGGACACACGTGGCACGCAGCCGGCCGCGCTCCGAACCTTCCGCGCAGGGGACTCAACACGGCCAAGCGCCTGGGATGGTTCGTGGGAGCAGCTCCCGCAGAACGTGCTTCCCTAGCTGCAGTGTGCATCTCCATCAGGGGAAGGAGCCCGAAGTGCACAGCAGGCTCTCCTGGAGGGCTCGGGGGCTCTGCACTAGGTGCGGAGGAGGCAGAGCGCGGAAGGGAGGGATGAAAGAGGAGGTGGTGGCCGAGAGGAGCGCACGGACGCCTGGGCCCCACCTTGTCCATGTGGAAGATGAGGTCCAGCTCGCAGACGTTCTCAAAGCACTTGTCCAGCGTCTCCACGAACACCTGGGCGGGAGCGGAGGAGGTGAGCGCCGGCGGCGGCAGCAGGACGGGCCCCGCGCGCAGCACGGGCGCCGCGCACGCACCCGCTGCAGCCCGCACGGGGACTAGCGGGACACTCGCTGCATCCCAGGCTTCCACCCCAACGGGAACACATCCCTTGGAAAAAACACCTGCTTTCAATGGCAGCAAAGCGCCCGGCGCCGGCAGCCCTGGGGATGGTGCAGGGGGTGTGAGCAGCACCAGGAGGCTGCTGCCCACAGCAGCACTGCCCAGCGTGGCCGGGATGGCCCAGGGTGACCGGGGTGGCCCAAGGTGACTGGCACTGCCCACGGTGACTGGGATGGCCCAGGGTGACTGGGATGGTACTGGTACTGCCAGTACAACTGGTACTGCCCAGTGTGACCAGGACGGCCTAGCGTGGCCCGGCACGGCCAGCACTGCCCAGCGCACCGAGCACGGGCCCCCCAAGCTGCTCGGGAAGCCCAAGCCCCCCCGCTCCAGGCTCCAGCCGAGATCTCTCGTAGCCGGAGGTGCAGCCGGACAAGGCAGCGCTGCCAGTGTGGCCAGGCTGCCCCAGTGCAGCCGCGGCTCCCACACTGCTCCCATTGTTTTCCCAGTGCCGCCGGCACGGCCGGCTCCAAGGCCRGGCGGCAGCGCCCTGCGTGCCAGGGAGGCCGGCAGGTGCCAGCGCCTCGGCGCCAGCCTCCCGTGCAGCGCCGGGGCTGCACGCCGTGTCCCGGCTCGCGGGCACCCCGCACGGCGGCGGGGACGTGGGAACATGGGAACGCAGCAGGTGACCGAGCAGGGCACGGCCTCCCGCTATGGGAACGGCACCGGGAAGTGCTGCATACGCCGCACCAGGACATGCCAACAGGACGAGCGTGGGAACAGGCGGGAACTCCGCACAGATCCAGCCAGGGACACCTCCTCCTGGCCTGGGATCTCTGACCGGAGCCGGGCAGGGCAACGCAGGCGGCCCTGCCGCGGTGCTGCCCTGCGGCTGCCGAGAGCGCCAGGGCCACAGCCGCCTCCTGCAGCGGCTGCCACAACAAACGAGGGGTGGCCCACGGAGAACTACTCTCCAAAACTCCACGCAGCTAAAGGCACGATCCGAACAGGAACTAAACTGCGTGACGTCGCTCTGCAGAGGCTCTGGCACSTGCCTCTAACTTGGTTTAGCTGGGGCCCTTTCGCAGTGCACCTGGTGACCAAGTATCTGATCTTCTCCGACGTTTACTGGGGCACCCTTGGTGTTTCCTCACACAGGAGCTTTGCGTTATGCCGGCCACCCTGCGCGTCCATGCGGGCGGGCAGAGCTGCCCCTCTGCGGGCGGCACCAGGACCTGGTGCGCGCAGGGACGCGCGGCCGCCGCTCCACACACCCACCTGGATGAGGTCCAGGATGCCCAGCTCGCTCTCGCACGAGTCCACGCAGAACACAAAGCAGAGCGTGGCGTCGTGCCGGTAGACGAGCTTGTGCTCAGGGCCGCCGAAGAGGCTGCAGACACGGGCGGCACGGGGGCGTCACGGGGGTGCCGCGGGGGTGCCGGTGCCGCGGGGTGCCGGTGCCGCGGGGTGTCACGGGGGTGCCGGTGCCGCGGGGTGTCACGGGGGTGCCGGTGCCGCGGGGGTGCCGGTGCCGCGGGGTGTCACGGGGGTGCCGGTGCCGCGGGGTGTCACGGGGGTGCCGGTGCCGCGGGGTGTCACGGGGGTGCCGGTGCCGCGGGGGTGCCGGTGCCGCGGGGTGTCACGGGGGTGCCGGTGCCGCGGGGTGTCACGGGGGTGCCGGTGCCGCGGGGGTGCCGGTGCCGCGGGGTGTCACGGGGGTGCCGGTGCCGCGGGGGTGCCGGTGCCGCGGCGCCCTCCCCTGCCGCACCGCAGGAAGCTGCGGCCGCGCTGCTGGCGCCGCAGCAGCAGCTGGACGGCCTCGCGCACGAGCTGCTGCTGCCGCTCCTCGGGCTGCGGGCGCACACGGGCCGCGCTGACCCACACCGCCCGCCCGGCACGGCCCGGCCCGCTCCAGAACCCCGGCACCGCTCCACACCCCCAGCCCCGTCCCAGCCCGCTCCAGACCCCCAGCACTGCCTAGCCCCAGCCCAGTCCGGACCCCTGGCCCCATCCTGCCCCATCCAGACCCCTGGCCCGGGTCAGTCCCCGCTCTGGCACGGCCCCAGCCCGGCCCAGCTGCCCGGTACCGCCCGGCCCGGCTCCCCCAGCCCCGTCGCGGTGCCGGTGCCCGCACCAGGCGCTCGCAGGAGCGGACGAGCCGCGGCTTGCCGCGGTTGTTGAACACCAGGATGGCGCTGATCATGGTGGCGGCGGGGCCGGGACTCGGAGCGGGACCGGGGCCGAACCGGGGCCGGAAGACGAACCGGGTGCCGCAGCCCCCCGCGGAAGCCCCTCGCCTGCCCCGGAAGCGCGGCTCCGGGGCGGTGCCGCGGACCCCGCCGCCCCGCTCGGCCCCGCTCCTGGTTGCGGTTCCGGTTCCGGTTCCGGTTCGAGCGCGCGCGCCGGACCCCCGCCCTCCCCCGCCTGTCGCGACAGAGCCCGACAGAGCGCGCAGCGGCAGCTCGCGCCCGCGCCGCCAGGGGGCGCGCGAGCCACGACGGCGGCCGCGCGGGGACACACCGCGCGGGAACCACAGCGCGGGAACCACAGCGCGCGGGGGCGGGGCTCCCGCGGGACACGCCCCCTTAAAGGGCCTGCGCCCCCTTTGCTTTGCCGGCGGCGGGAGAGGTCAGAGGTCAGGGCGGGAGCAGGGGCTTCACGGCGGGGGGACACGGGGGCGGGGCCGCGGAGCTGGGACCGGGCCATGGGGATGGGGACACGGGGGCGGGGCCTGGGGACAGGGACACCGGGCACAGGGCCGTGGGGACGGGGCCGTGGGGCTGGGACGGGGCCGCGGGGACAGGGCCATGGAGCTGGGGCCGGGGCCAGGGGACGTGGGCGCGTTGGCCGGGCCGGGCCCGCGGAGCCCCGCGTGGCTGCCGCCCCGCTGCAGCGCTGCCCCCGCGGCCCCCGTGGCGCTGCCGCCTCCTCCCGGCGCTGCCGCCACGTCCCCGTGTCCCCATGTCGCCGTGTCCCCGGGCTCCACGCAGCCTCCGCGTCCCCATCCAGGGGGATTGTCCCCTGCCTGGTCCTGCTCCGTGTCCGCCCCGCTCCCGCTCGGCCGCCCTGTCTATGGGGACACCAGGAGCCTCTGCTGGTTGCCTCCGATTCCCAGAGCAGCCTGGGACCATCCGCTGGGACCGTCCCTCGGGAAGACCCMCTGGGACGATCCTCATGGCGCGTCCTTTGGGAATCACCCCCCAGCCCCGTCCCGTGGGACCATCCCTTGGGACCGTCCTGTGGGGAGCGACCCTTGTTCGTGTCCCTCGGGTGACGCTGGCTGTGCAGCCGCCCGCCCCTGCAGCCCTGGGCGGTGCCGGTGCCGGTGCYGGTGCCGGAGCGAGAGCCTCGCGGGGGCACCGGGGGCCTCCCTGTGCCCGCGGCGGCCGCAGCCTCTCCCGCCCTGTGGCATCCGTGCTGCCTGCCCTGTCCCCATCCCCGTCCCCCTCCCTGTGCCCATCCCCATGATCATCCCTGTCCCCATCCCCGGCCCATCCCC